ATTGAAAAAGAGATCAGAGACGCCATTGGAGAGGACGCTGAACACGAAACGGAACCGGAAGAGGACAATGAAATCGGGGTTGTAAGAGTTTTACCGAGTACCAGCGAAGAGGAGACCTCTCGAGGTCCTGATACCTGTAGAACTATAGCAGGCGACTCGTTACCTCAAGTAAATAAATTCTTTTAAATTCAAAGAAATAAATATTCATTTATAAAATTTTCAAAGGGTTAATTTGTTTTTTTAATTATTTCACATAGGTGCAATCTGGTACCCGTACTCGAATGATCCGTGTTCAAAGCCCCCAAGAAAGTGGAAGTAACCGATTACAAGGAAGGCAACGTCGTGACAGCGGTGGCAGGGACAGTGGAATAGAACCCAGTCCAAGAGTATCGAGAATACCAAGAAGACGAATCATGAAGTGTTGTCCGAACAGTGCTAGACAACAGACTCTTAATATGGACACTATAACCAGAGATGTACAGATTAGCTTGCGCCGTTATCATCTCGAGAGGAAGATTTTCTTTCAATTAATGGAACTAAAGAGACTACAGATACGTCATGGAAGAGCGAACGAACAAGTTTTGGTTAAAAGACAGGTATTAATTTGTACACCAAATACTTAAAAGTTAAGTACATTATATTCATGTTAGCTAATTATTGTTGTGTATTTTTTATAGGTGGATGCATTCCATAAGGCGGGTATGTCTGGACCCACCCTCGGAGTAGCGAAATACGACCAACCCCTAACATTCAGGTTATTATTTATCAACTATAAAATAGAAAAGTGGAAAATAGTAATAACAATTATAATTTGTAATAAAAGGGCTCTGTACAGCAGAAAAGATAAAAATCATTTTTGGAAGTACATACTGTCCTTCGTTCACAAGAAGTTTTGTAAGCGACAGTAATTAATTACTGGGCTACAAAGTAATACAAAGTCAATTGATAAAATATTAATGACCTAACGATGTTTAATGTTTTCTTTTTATCAGACACTTTGAAGCCTTTCTTTATGATCAATTAAGAAAGCTTCAAAGAAGACCAGCTACCCCAGACTTTTGCACGGAAGCGAAGCAATGTACTCAAAAAACTCACCGCTGTCATCACGCTACAAGTGCATACACGTCTTTCCCTGCGTATACATATCGTACGTTTTAGTGGCTTGTTAAGAAAAATGAATTTCAGAATTCCATTTCATAATTGTTTCTCTTTTAATTTCTACATTGTTTAAATTATTATTATCATTTTTATATTGAACAACTCTGAAATGGAATACTGATCGCGAGAATTCAATTCAAAAGATTTTCAAAAAGAGTCAGTTTCCCTATTGTGATTGTAGATTATAATTGCAGTAGGTGGAGGAGGCCAAGAACAAGCGGATCTTCTTCCGAAGATAGAGAGCCGTGGAAAGGGACAAATGACGGTAACAAATAATCGTTTTTATTGATATAATATACTAGATGTTTTACGTGACAATTCTTGTCAGCATAGTTGGTAAATATAAAATAAATATACGTGAAAAATTTCTAATTATGTTATTTTCATTACAGGTGGAAGTAACGCACGGGGAAGAAAAGCAAATAATAGCTCTTCCAACTGAGAAACTAGATCGTACAAAGAAATACTACGTAACATTCACTGTCAGAGGAGAAGCCTCCGAGGAAAAGTCAAAATCGTCGCATGGTATCCAAAGAAATGCCAAAAGTGTTTAAACTGTCTTCAATCATACTACAACTTCCCATTTCAACGATATCAGCTGCGTATTTCTATACTTTTCTACACAAATTTTTTAATCCTTTGTTACAGTCGCGATAATTAAACTCAGAACTCATCATCATAATTGCAATTCTTTTATATCGGTCTTTCTACGAATTTCAGCACCGATTTCCTAACGAAATATCGTTACTTTTTATATCATAAAAAGACCACCAAAGAATTTAATAACTGCCACAAGAAAAAAAATTCATACGAATAGATAATATATTCTATGTAAAAATGTTAATAATCTTACGCCAAAACATTTTAAGGTTTCGCTTTTAAACAATAAAAAATTGTAGGAGGAAGACAAATCTTTTTGTATAATCGTTTAAATATCAATCGATCAGTTTTATGTATTTTAATTACTTTAGTTATTTAATGTTTTTTTAATGCTGCGTAAGTTATATTTGTAAACCAGAAAAATGGACAAGTTCATTATACGTGTACAATAGTAAATATTTTGTTCTTGCAGAAGCAGGGACCATGTGGTAATTAACGTATACATGTTCTGTATATTTGTGTAAATGAGACCACTGCAAGTAACGTGTAACTCTGTGTAAAATAAATAAAAAGAAATAAAAATTATAATTCATTTAACCATGATCCAAATTTTTCAGTTCCTATATATTAACATTAATAAAATACTATTATCAATGTTCCAAAAGAGATTACAAGTGGCAGTTTACATGTTACATTCTAAACAATGAATAAAAGTTAGAATTCAAACAAATTATTATGTATTATATGTGAGGAAACGTTATAAGATAATTATACGCCCAAGGGGGTGCTCGATGAATAACAAATGTTGCACAAGAGTGCTGACAATAGAACGTTTTATTATGATTCGACAAGTGTATTTATTCCCGACTTGTACGGAATTATCGATCTATTAGTTGTGACGTAGCTAAACAAATGGTTGAACGTCTGATCGTCTGGATTCACTGGTGAAAGTCGTTACTGTCAGTAATAAGACTACCACAGGGTGGTCTGTCAATGATGCCGACACTTAAGACGCAAATTAGAAGGAACAGAGTGAAGTTTTTAATCATGCATTTTGAGTATTCCATCAACGAGACGAGATTCCTGTGAAGAAGCCTTCGCATGGACAAATGGCTCCAAGATAGGAAGCTTTGGCTTTTCGGTAGCACACTTCCCTTGCTACCAAGGAGGTAAACACTAACGCTTTTTCCCACTCAATTAACCTTCGCACCACGAATTCAGGATTGGCAATTAAATTCCTGACCTTTCTTTCCACAGAATTATTTAAATATCTGTTCTATACAGAGCTCGGTAAAGTAGTTTTTCATTTTTGTGTACAAATTAAATTTTAATATTTTGAAAGCTATGAATTTTCTACAACTCAGACTAGCACCATTCTAATGCTTGGGAAATAAATTGCATATAACATGATAGCTGAGAATAGTCCTTTCTCATCCCTAATAGAACATTCAAGTAGCTTCACCTGACCTAACGAAAAACCTGTTACAATACCAACCTGCCAAATCGGAAAGTCACGTGGCGTATCTACCCCCTTCAATCTACCTTATACCTAATTGAAACTAACTCTTGAATAGCACAATAAGTTTTCTCTAAGAAAAATTAACTATCATTATATATTAATTAAAAATTATATTAATTTTCTATAGATCAATCTTAATAGTTGTTCGATTTTGATAAATTTATAAAGAACATTAATTGACATATTTCACATACGTCGATTTTGACGAAATTTTAACAAGTTATTTTTTATCGATCATTCTCCACGTTGAAGGGGTGACGATAGACGAAATAACCAATCAAAAGTTATACAAATGTTACACGGCTTCTGTTCCGTCTATTTCCAGTTGAAAATAATATAACCCTATTCACGGTCGTTATTTAAGCATAGACAGTACGGTAGCTTGATATCGATTGTCAATAATCAAGATTTCAACAACAACTTAAACTGACGTTTCAGTACAATTTAGTAACGCTCGGTATGTTCAACGTGAAGGGTGTTTCAACAACAGGATTCCATGAACGCCATTCTAGGATTTTTGTATGTATATTTTTTTGGAAAGGATTTTGAAATCCATCAAACGCCTAAAAGTCTACCATAAATTAAAGCACTTTAAACAAGCAAATCTTTTTCCCCTTGTAACTCACTACCATTTTATTGTAATAATTGGTTGTTTGCATATGCAGGGTGTTCCATGTCACAATTTCAAAGTATAGCTCTGAAATGGTTTAAGATAGGAAAAAATGTTATTAGGAAAAATTAAATGACGTCGAATGGAGCATCACGCGATGCATATGTCGATTGCGGAAGAATTTCAGAGATTTCAAGGTCAATTTTTATTTAATGGAACTATATACTTTTCTATATGTCAACAAGAAAGTACTTGAAGTCGGAAATTGATTAATTCCGATATTAGCACCACTTCCGGAACTTGTCAGCTCCATTTAACGTTATTTAATTTTGCTTACAATAATATAGTTGTGGTAATGGAATTAGATATCATTCTTATGACAATAAGGCGAAGTTCATTCGTCTATGAAATTCATAATGAAAAAATAATAGAATTATTTAATGAATTCAGAAGGACATGAAAAAGGTCAATAAAGTCGTGCAGTTTTAGCCGGAAGCTAATTTCGAGGTATTCTGAGTACCTTAAATCAATTCCATTACTTTTCGCTCGAGGGTAACACGCGAATTCTTTAAGGAGGCTAACAATGACGGCATAAGCCTTATGATTTTTCCACCGACCCCACGATTCACCTATAAAATGACGTCATTCTCTTATCGTGAAGAAACAATCTGTTCAGAAAAAGTGTTCTCGTTACGTTACCAAGAAAAAAACATTCTACAAATTTTTCTCATTAATTATAACTGTTTGAATTTTAAACGTGTTCCGTTTTTATTTAGACTAGATGTAGAGATTAAGTCAAAGCTGATCCAAATCAACCCACTCATCCTACACATATAAGGAACCTTCCTAAAAGTATATGCAAGAAAAAAAAAAATAAATGCGAGAAACTGTTATTAATCCTGGATAATATAAAATACACAGTTAAATTAAAATTGGGTTTCTCTCCATGGTCCGCTGTTCGAAGGTTAAAATTACTACGAGATAAGCGCAAAAAAATAATAAATAAACGCGATAATTAAATACCATGCATAACCCAACTCATTAATATAATTTCTTATAATAAATTTAAATAATGAATAAAATTAATCTATACAGATAATTTGTATTAAAAAAGAAAATAATTGTCAGGGATTGAAGGGATGAAATGAATTGGTCATCGATCGAACTCGAACTTTGATATTCAATTTGACCCTTGAAATTAGCTGGCAGTGAATAATACGACCACAGAGGTGTCTTCAGCATCTTTAACCTTTATTTATGGTAGCGATGCATTTTCCGCCGATTTAAAGTGAAACATAACCAATTTTTTAAATGCGATAATTGTAATTTATTAGGAATCGATTGAAAATTGTCAAGGCCCTGGATAATCTTAATTTAGGAATTCAAAAATAGTCGAATATGTTGAATTGCTCGTATTTGATCCGGCATGGTGAACGATTTAAGATTCGCGAATTACCGGCAGCACGTGCCCCTATGGTAAGTTGATGATGTATCATCAAACATGAAATATTTATTATTCAAATATTGATAAAGGGAATAACTAAGGGCACTTGTTAAAAAATGTATACTAAATATTCATAGAACTCCAAGATTTTCTATTAGGCAAAATGGGAGATTGCGTCTCCAGACCGCCATTTCTGGCTGACTTACGTCTAACCCTTAAAAAGAAGAATAAACTAAACTATACCAAATATTTTTTCAAGTATCATATCTTATTAAAATAGACCGATGTCTCTCAATAATATTTGTATTATTTTGCCCACCCTCTATACTTGACACAAGGGTTGGAAAACATGAAATTTTTATACAAGCCGACCGGTGTTATTCGTTGTAAGGGCGCGTGCGCCAAGTTCCGATTCAAATAAAGTAAAAGCCGCAGGGGAGCTTGACCCTTGGTCACCGGCTAGGATACAGTCTGGTTTGCAACGTTTACAGTGATACAGTAGCATGCTCTTTACGCAGCAATTCACCTCTTTACCATGCCTCTCCAAGTATAAAAAGTGGGTACAAAGCGAATATATTCTTTCATGTTTTCAATTTCAATCGTCTTTTCATTTGGTGAACAGTGACTGGGATTCGTTCTTCCCTCATCAAGTCCCTTCGCAATATTTATTATTTATGTTTTATCAAAAGCTATGAAGTGTTTGTGAAAATTATGTTTATTTTATTTACTGAACCACCGATGCGTTCTGTGAAACGCAATTGTCATTATGCTTCAATGGGAACACGCGTGCTTTCGCGTGTGACTATGTACGAAGATAACATCCGCATGGAACTCATAACTGTGTCACATACAACTGTCAATTTTCTTTTGCAAAAACATTAATGTTCCAGTAATGTTCCAATAATGTTTTCATTTTGTCCTCTATAACAATTCTTACTAGACTGTAGTGATAAGTTTATTACCATTTTCTTTTTTATTACAAATAAAGTAACTGCAATATTCTATAAATTAACCTTCAGATGGCGGACCGTGTGGAGAGACCCAATTTTAATTTAATTCTGTATTTTATATTATTCTCGAACTATTCCCCGGTATTGCTTAAATTAGATGCAATATTAATTTAATTTTAATAAAAAACAATTATTTTATTCTTAGGTCACGCGCGCCGAGCAAGGCGATGGAACGGTACGAGCGATTAGCGCGACTTGGAGAGGGTAGTTACGGTGTTGTCTTCCAGTGCAGAGATCGGCAAACTGGAAGATTAGTAGCTGTGAAAAAATTCCAACAAACCGAAGATGACCCCCTCATACGAAAAATTGCGCTACGTGAAATACGGTTGCTTAAGGTCAGTATATTCGTCCTTAACCCTTTAACCCTCACAACTAACGTGCGTGTATTAGACGCTAATTACTTACTGCAATCAAACCAGCACTAGGTTCGATAATACTGCTTAAAACTCTCATTCTTCACTTTCTTTTTATAATTTGACAAAATTAAATTCTTAACACTAGTTATGGATATTCATATATTAAGATACTGTTACTAAAATAAAATTATAATTAAAATTTCACACGATAAGAATTCTACTACTTGTTTTTTAAATAAAAATTTAAATAAAACACTGTTAAATATTTTTATGTTGCACCGAAATAATATTTCTATGTCCCCCGGAATACTGGGGCCCGGTGCTGTAGCCCCCCTTAAACCGCCATTAATCCGATACTGTGCACCATAATAGCAAAGTCATAATTACATTGTCATAAATGCATTTTTATCGCAATTGCCGCTATTGTCTAGTTTTATCATTAGATCATCATAGAAGTTTATAGAAACAAAGTAATAAAATGAGCTTTTAAGTTTCAAACCTTTTAATTTATCATCGTAGCTTCAGCGTTGGCAATGTTAACATCGTTCATCGAAGTGGTCACTATTCAGTGGTCCTGAAATTGAACAAACGAAATAAGATGATATATAGTATAGGAGTACGCCCTTAAGCTTTAAAATATTGTAAAAAACAAAGTAATGCGTTTCATTAATCAAAACTTGTTTTATTTGAAAGAATATCAAGAGTATTGTTTCGAAGCATAATGAACCTTACGGACATTAAGAATAAGATTCATAACCAATAAAAATCGATACTTATTTTCAAAGTATTACATCCCATTACAACGTACATATATTTTGCAAACATCAAAAATAAACAACAAAATGCAAGAAAAACTTCAAACTCACCTGATTCTACCATTTTTAAGCACTTTTTAATTCTTTTTTGACACAAACACCTACACTGTACGCCGGTTAATATATGACTGAACTTAGCGTCAATATGCAGACTATTTCACTTTTAGCTTCAGTGCGTACTCTTATCCACTGCGTGATCTTATCCCAATTTACACTACTTGTTAATCACATATTACAAAATGCTTATAAAATAATCTATGTAGAAAAGTAGCTTTCTATTGACTGATTGATTGATCGATAGCTTCCCTTTTAAAAAGAACGGCGTGATCTAGGGACAAGCGGCCCCTTTCTACGCACCAAAAATTATCGTCAACGCGCGCATGCGCGCCTTTTTTCAAACTACGTTACATCTCTCTTTTTGCCTTACTTTTGACATTTTTGTCATTTACATTTTCTCTCTATTTTTGCCATTCTCTTTCTTCTTTCCTATTTTTTTTTGCTTGCACCCCCTTTTAGTCGCCTCTTACGACAGGCAGGGGATACCGTGGCTGTATTCTAAACCCCCAGCCACAGGGGAAGTTTTCTATTTTTACTTTCTTCGCTGTCCAATATGGTTCTAGTCTTATATCTATGTGTATACTCTGAGGTGAACGACCTCTTGTACCCTGAAAACACTAAACCTCTTACTATCTGTTGTCGAATTGAGAAAATCTCTTCGAAAGTATCTTTTAAGTCCAATGATAGGTATTTTTGAATTCTCGAAGTTGAGATTCAGTTTACAGATTTTTTAAGGGAAATCAGCTGACCGTCGAATAAAAACTCATAATCTTATACGACAAGGTAGGCATATAAATCTACCGTTGACTACAAGAAGTGGCCAACGGTCAATACCGCGACGGTCAATATCTTAGCGTGTTCTGCTACCGGCGACCTAGCCTTATCGAAATAATCGGAGGGTTCCCTCCGAAACATATGCGCATTCAAACGAGCCTCCATTCTGCTCTGACATTTCGCTTCAAGGATATTTTCTTTCGTGCATAACAATAAATCTGGTCCGTGATGTTAATGATTTCCTTTCGTCACGACTTCTTGATCTCAGATTTTGCACCACTTTTTCAGGTCACAGAATTTTTAAACTTCCTTAAAGTATTAGACTACCTTTGCCAGTTTAAAAAATATTACATGTTTAAGAATTTACTTTTAAATAACAATATTTTTATCCTGCTTATATTTCGCGAGTATAATTAAAATGTAGTTTTACGAGCGTTAATTTTATTTTCATGGTTTATATTCTACAGAATCTTAAGCATCCGAATCTGGTCAATCTTCTAGAGGTATTCAGACGGAAACGGAAATTGCATCTAGTCTTCGAATATTGCGAATACACGCTGTTGAACGAGATGGAGAGATATCCGAACGGATGCCCGGAAATTACCATAAAACAACTCACGTGGCAAATTCTTCAGGGTATCGCGTATTGTCATCGATTGGGTTGCGTTCACAGAGACGTGAAACCTGAAAATATTCTGATCACAGGCGATGGTGTAGTAAAATTGTGCGATTTTGGTTTCGCACGGATGCTTAGCCCCGGTGAAAACTACACAGAATATGTCGCAACGAGGTGGTATAGAGCTCCTGAACTTCTGGTAATTTTTTCCTTTTTCATGATACTTATTAATTGATCCTAGTTATATCAATGGTTTTCTAACAGGTCGGAGATACTCAATATGGTACACCAGTCGACGTATGGGCAATTGGTTGCGTTTTTGCAGAGTTAATACGAGGAGAAGCTCTGTGGCCAGGAAAGTCAGATGTGGATCAATTGTATTTAATTAGAAGGACTATTGGAGACTTGTTACCAAGGCATATAGCCGTTTTCCAACAGAACGAATTTTTTACTGGTATCACATTACCAACACCTCAAACTCTCACTCCTCTTGAAGACGCTCTGCCTAATAGAGGGAATATCGTTCTACAAGTAAATACTTGTTTGATCCGTTGCCTTTTTTGTAATAATCGCATAAATATCTAAATTATACCGTTTAATTCAACAGCTTGACTTTCTCAAAAAATGTTTTGACAAAGATCCAGATAAAAGATGGTCTTGTGAACAACTTTTGCAACACCCATATTTTGAGAATTTTCACTATAAAATGCCTGAAGCAGAAATGGAAGAATTTGAAAAACTTAAAAAATACCGAGATCGATCACGGGTAAATATAAAAGAAAATTGTAGCAGTAAGTTTATAAATGCACGTAATTTTAATATTTTCGGTATATTTTAGAATAGTAATTACAGTCAAATGGTATTACCACAACTTCCTAAAGCTGGTGCTTCAGTAAATAGTCAAAATGAAAATCGGCCGAGAAGCTCCTCCATGCATCATCAGCAGGACTTTGATCACCTGCCTACTATTAAAGGTTGCAATTAAGCTCCTCTGTGATTGTAATATATTTATATATATATATATATTTATTTATTTAAACTTTGTAAATCTTCATTATAAATCAATGATTGTTGATATCTTTTATTTTTACCTTGCACATTTATCTTTGAAACTGAACAGATTTTGTTCTATTAGCATGATTTCCATATCATATATACATATTTATTATACGTACATTGTATGTACATCTTAAAATAAAGTTTTGTATAAAATGATCAGTTGTATTAATGAAGTATAATTATCATAATATAATTCTTCTAAATAATAATCATCACATACAATACTCAACATTTTATTCCACAAATAGAAATACAAATAACACTACTTTCATTACAAATCATATTCTTTTCAATATACATTCATTGGGAACAATGTATATTTTAAATAACTGTGAAGTTTTACTCCTCAACAGATTTAGGTTTCATGTAACGATAATACAATTTTACAAAAGGATGGTACTGTCTTTCATTATCTGGTACATAATGTTTTTGCATAACATACCAACCAACATGCATACTAACAAATCCTACACCAAATACCCATAAAAAAGCACTCATTTTTAAACTATCTCTTGATTGTTATCCTAACTCTAGCAGGTTAAAACTGGCAAAACAGTCATCTCTGAAATATACAAAGAAAACTTTTAATTAATGTGCACCCAAATATATATTTAAGTGTATAACTCAATTTTATTACTCCTTAACACTATTTACAAAATTATCTACCAATATATAATTACATATAAGACCATCAAAGTTGTTTCTTCAGAAATTATAGAATAGGAAGGTAATCAATAGGTTAAATTATATGCGTATAAATATAGCAGTGACTACTATAGCGCGTTGTACTCTGTAAGTTGCCGCGTTGCCGCCAGTTGTCGCCATTGATTCAAGCATCTTCGTGACTGGCGTTTGTGACAGTCGGCTTGAACTGATTTTTAAACAATTTTTATTAGAAGAATAAATCTAGTTTGAAAGTAAGTATCTTTAATTGTTAATGAATACTTAATTTTAAAAATTTGATTAATTTTTGTGTTTGTATGTTTATATTTGTCTTGTAACAGTTTTGCTATGTCATTCTTAAGTAACATTATTCCGTATAAGATTATTTCGATTGTTTTTATTATTAATGACTTAACTTGAATGTAATGAATTTATAGTAAATATATTTGACACTATTTGTTATTTTACATTTAAATCAAAGTAGTAAAGTATAAATACATATGTAGTGTATTGAAACATAACCTAAACATTTCATTGCGAATACAAATAGGAAAGTTAGGTAACAATCAGATTTGAAAAGTGTTTTGATGATATGTACGTATATTTTTTTGGATTTCAGATGTTTCTAACACGTTCTGAATACGATCATGGTGTTAATACTTTTTCACCTGAAGGAAGGTTATTCCAAGTTGAATATGCTATAGAAGCTATAAAACTTGGTTCCACTGCCATTGGAATTGCAACATCAGAAGGTGTAGTGTTAGTTGTTGAGAAGCGTATCACATCTGGTTTAATGGAACCTACAACCTTAGAAAAAATTGTAGAAATTGATAAGCACATTGGATGTGCAGCATCAGGTCTGATAGCTGATTCTAGAACAATAATTGATCGTGCTAGAGTAGAATGTCAAAATCATTGGTTTGTCTACAATGAAAAAATGTCTGTGGAATCAACGGCTCAAGCTGTTTCCAATTTAGCTATACAATTTGGAGATAGTGATGATGATGGTAGTGCTATGTCACGACCATTTGGTGTAGCAGTGTTATTTGCTGGTATTGATGAAAAAGGGCCTCAACTGTATCATATGGATCCTTCAGGCACTTTTGTTCAGTTTAATGCAAAAGCCATTGGTTCTGGGAGTGAAGGTGCACAACAAAACCTTCAAGAGGTATATCACAAGGTGAGTACTAAAATATGTATTTTATAATCTTTGTACCCTGAGTTGCATTAAACTTGTCGCAGTGAAGTTGGCTACAAATTCACTAACACATTCATGTCGCGTCGGTAAGTCGATCTCGCCCATCGGCTCACCGACGCGGCGCGAATGCGTCAGTGAATTTGTAGCCAACTTCACTGCGACAAGTTCAATGCAACTCAGTGTGTAAATGTTAAATTAATTATTTTTTATTTTATTTCATAGTCAATGACGCTTAAAGAAGCAATAAAATCTGCTTTGGTTATATTGAAGCAAGTCATGGAAGAAAAATTGAGTGATAATAACATAGAAGTAATGACAATGACACCTGAGAAACTGTTTCATATGTTTACAAAAGCTGAATTACAAGAGGTGATTAAAGATATTGCTTAATTTTTAGGTCATTTAAAATATACTGGTTTAATAAATCTAAATATATAAAATAATAAGTAACATAACTATGCTACATGAGCATTGTATAAGTGCAAATTATATATACCTTTTTCATTCAAAGAACATGATTTTTACATAATGATCTTTTTACATTTTCATTGTTTTAAAAAAGCAGCAATGATAGTAAACTACTGATTATGTTGTCACATCCATTTCAAAGAATCCTTTATTCTACTTCCCAATTCATACTCAAATTATAATTATCTATGTATAACCATTTTTTTTTACCACGTTTATAATCAGGATCATTCTAATTCCTTGATTTAGTTGATTGATGTTCTGCCATCGTCAAAAGAAGATTCCTTAAGATCAAGATCCAATACCTCTGGTCCATATCCATTACTCCCATCTATTTCATCCAATGATGGGTGAAAAACTGAGAAGCAGTGGGTACCTGCAATAGTGTTTGTACTTCCTATCCTACAATTGTTTCATTATTCTTCTCAAGGTAACACATCATAAAACATTTTTATAAAAGCCAGTTATATACAGTTTGTTGCTGTGAAAATATTTATGTGTGTACTTTATATTTGTGTTTAGTTTATCAGTATTCATTATTTAACAAACTTTAAATATTTCTTTTTATAATATGAACATTTTACACTGCATTATGCATTAAAAACTCGGATTACATACATACAAAAGTATGCTTTATTTAATTAAATATATAATAGCCTATACGAAACGCATAAACTTATTCAAGTGTTCAACAACATTTTACCGTTTTCTGTAATCATTATTATAAAGTACATGCATATGGATCTCTTGAGCTATATTTTTCACGCCATAACAAAATAGAAATGCTTATTTTCACGCATTATTTTTTAGTTTATTACAACTCGCAAAGAATACAAAATGAGCGATCTTTTATTAGCTGTTACACCTAATTTTAGCTTCCATAATTACCAAAATTATAGTAATTTTAAACATTTATAACTTTTCTAACAAAAAAAGAAAATAAGTATTCTAGGTATTCTTTATTTAAAAAAAAAATAAAAACCTAGTGGTGGTATGTATAATGCGGGCTCTTCTAGAGCATCTCGTTATTCGATTCGCGTCGAATGGAAACGAACGGGACGGATGGTTCGTTTTTGATTAAAAGCTCTCGACCTGTGAATGCCCGTATCCGAAATCAATAATTAATTTTGCCCGGTTGCCAGAGGTGGTGCGTGGTAGGAAAGCGAGAGCCTGGGCGGAAATGGTTGGGTACTCGCTCGGTTACTGTGATGTTCCGATAAAACGTCCCTTTTTATCCCGTTCTCTCAGCTGCCAGATTATTGGGTATTATTCCATTTCAAGCGTTCAATCCCGCTACGATTCGCTCGCTCGGATTCCCACGGGGGATTCTCTGTCGTCCACTGATTGTCGAAGGCCTCACTTACACGCACTTCCGTTCACCTGTAGTTGAACGTCATTCGAAACATTCTGTTTCACTAGTCGATCACTCACTTTTGTTTTGTTTTTGTAGAATTGTTAACAATTGATTGTTACTTTGTTCAAAGTTAATGTATCTTGGTGAATATAATAGTTACCCAAAGGTCATTAATATGTTCTATAACTCTTAAATTTTTTACAAATCATTCGAAGAAGAATGAGAAATATACTTTTGAAAAAATGGAAATGAAGAAATGAGGAATGGGATTAAAATTTGATTAAATGAAAGGGACGTCATACATATCTATAATTAAAACAACTGTTTGTCTCTATTTCTCTATTTTCACTAAATCAACCGAATCTCACGAATCATCAATGAATCATACAACCATACAACAACTTCAACCAAACCAGGAGTTTAATAAATTATTACTGTAATGAACTCTACTACTACACATCGATTTTCATTATATCAATAAAGTCAGAAAGAGACGATCATCAAAGGAATCGAAAGAAAGCTCGATGGTGATACGGTTTCAAGGAGGAGCCATATCAGCTAAGGGGAAAATGGAGTTAGAAGGAGAACGAGAGGAGGACTCTGTAATTAACTGCGATGGGATAGTCCCGTTTGAGTCGCTGAGAATCCCCCGGGACCTGACCCGTCGTATCAGACGCCAAACACTCCACTCTCACACCGTTGAGTCTCCTCGTTGTCGTCGTCGTCATCGTCTTCGTCCTCGGCCAGCTTCGAAGCCAGTACGTTCAAGTTTCGGTACGATAATTGCCTTCGCTTCACAGTCGCGCCCCGACACCCGCGGCATTGGATAAAAGCCTCCACCTCCAACCACCTCCACCAGCAGACCCGTTCTACGAGCGAATCTATGGACGGGGATGAAGGGATGGAAATTCGATAATGGCTTTCAGCCTCTGAATTTCAACGCGATTCAAATCTCCTCGTCACGGAAACTCCTGGATACTCGCCTTTCATCGGTTCTCTCCTACCTACTATCGCTTATACGTTTTGAAGAACACTATCCTGTTTCAATTTCCACGACAATGGAGGATGTTTTAGGAGGATAAAACTAGGCTGAAATGGTTTATTCTTGTTTATTTTGAGAAAAATTTCATTCAATTTGTTGAGTGCGATTAATGTTTCAAAAATCCTTCCAAAGTTTATCGAATTTTCTACTATCTAGATGATAGGATCAATTTTAATCCCAGTTTAGCCAAGTTTCCATTAAAGATCCATTAATTTGCATTGAACCGTAACAGTGCACGTTTTCCCAAGAAAAGACTGAAGAAATGTGTAAACAGATTTTAATTATATCTTGTCGAAGTGAGAGTAAACTGGTTTTGAAATGATCCCTTCCGGTAGTAAGGACTCATTACGTTACCCGATTACATTCTTCCGGTGAACGTGAAACTTTGTTACATTACTTTACTTTCTTCGACAACGTTTAATCACCGGAACGAAATTCACGCGAAACAAATGTTGATCGATAATTTTGAAACAGATGACAGAGATTTTAGTTGTCCTTGCGAAGGCGAAACAAACATGATCTAACCGTGGTGGTTTCGACGATCGTTCTTCTGAAAGTCAGTATCGTACTTTCACTGTGGTTTCGTCGAAAAACTGCTACTATGGTATTTCGTTCTACTGAAATAAATAGAAAATCGTAAATAACTGTTCAGGAACGCGTGCACGGATTCGCGATGACACGCGAACCGCTTTGCTTGCGATCGATGAGGAAATAGAACAGTGTTTTTATTTTAAATTTATTTTAAAGTTTCGTAGGAATTATGCGCACATTATATTTGATATCGATTGAAATGACGGGATTAATAAATTTAATAGTATGAAACTGAAAATGAAAATAAGAATAAGATAATAACAGGACTGTAATATAATAATCCTTTTATTGACTTTGTAACGCTTACATCAGCAGCATTTAACTTCTACATTGTTCAAGATCTCATTTTCTAAATTGCTTCTATTACTTGCTCTAATGAAAGCGTTAAGAAATTTCATAATAGTCTACAGAAATTAACGTAACTCTAACACAGGTTGTTAGAAAAAAATAAGAATTCGAAAATTAAGGGTAGTTAGTAATTATGAACCCGTATAATGTCGAATCACACTCGTAACACAACATACATTTCATTTCATTTTAATCAATTAATAGTTTTAACTCTTCAATAGAGGAGGTGGATCAATCGTGACCAAATTTTATGAAAAATGGCTAAAATTAGGTGTATCAATTTTGAAACGAAAGAACTTCGTATAGTAGACAATAATATTTAAAAGAATAGTGTACGATTTGGAAAATGCAGACAGTAATCATTTTAATGGTAGACAATTTTGCTGTTAGTGTGCAATTATCATGAGTATAAAAAATATGGTTCCGTTAATTGTTATAAAAACGTAAAGTTCGATGAACGAAAGTAATAAGAAAGAAAAAAAAAAGGAGGAACGATGAAACTTTCCTCTTATTACCGAAGCGCCAATAGAAAACCGGAAGTAGACGGGATCGCGATGCAGGAAGAAGTGGATAGCAAGATAGGAGGTCAGCTATAATTCACGCATGGTGGAATCGTCGCGATTTTTTTCACTTTCACAAAACTTGCCGCTCGTACGTCGTCTAATAAGACCACATGTGTACACACTTTCATATTTGGCCGCAGTTATGCATCCTTGTAATTCCCAGTTCCCGTATAACATAACGTTTTACATAACCGAAAAGGAAACAATGCTTGGTCTTGCTGTTACTCGTTGATGAAAGGGACGCGGATTATTATTTCCAATTGAGCTCTAGTAACTTCTAATGTTTGTATAAAAATTTTCTTATACCGTGGAAACCTGCTTTCAAATTGAAATCAAACGTTACGTCGATCATAAATCAGTACAGAAGAATTTAGCGGTGGTGATGGTGGTGGTTATAAAGTGTGTGCGTAACAGCAATCTTGGAGAAAGTAATGCTTTCTTGAACACGCATACAAGGATCTCTTTAATTGCTAATCTTGATTTAAGATTCGTTCGAGATCGAAAGTGCGGCCCGGAAACGGTCTACTGTACATTCGATACCTTCGTGTTTCTCTTCCCAGGCTCTTTCCGTTTTTAGTCGAGCCTGAACACCTTAAACGTTCCTGTCGTGTTTGGGTTGAAATTATTGAATCACAAAATATTGATATCTTTTCATCGTACGATACTTTTCGCGATGTTTCGAGTGAAAGAGGCGTCGACGTAATGACAAAATGTTTTCATCCAAGTGGTTGAGCAGTCGGCGCGAAAAGGGAAATTTTGCAAAAGTGAAACTCGAAGACCAGATTTCCGGTAGATTCATCGAGAAAGTGTAGGCTCGTTAACGCGTTCGCGTGGAATCTTGATCGTTTTTTCTTCGGTTAGTCTTGTAAAAAGCTTGAAACATTCTTCGAGCGAGAAAAACGATACTTTGATGATGGGTTGTTATCTTTGATCTTCATTTTGATGAATTATTAACGTATTTTACTGGCAGAACAAAATTATCAAAAGAAAATTAAAAGGTGGAAATATTAAAGTGCAATGAGGAAATAAAGTTTACAAAACTAATGAATTCTTTGATTTATGAGATTAAGATTAAAAAATAGAGTTTTTACTTTTTCATCATCTTTTAGCAATTATTCAAGTGTTCGCTTTAAGAATTTGTAGTTTTTATGGAATTTTCGAATAATTACCTATAAATCTCTCAAAAGTACCTGCAGATGATAGAGAAAAATTTTTTGCAACTAAAAGGATAATTTAAATAAAAGTCAACGTTACAATGACAGACGAGTATTTATTAAAAATCTTTAATACAAAAAGGACATCTACATCGCTCGGGTGTCTTAACTTAAATTAGGTACAAGAGTGCCTCTTCGTTGCAAAAACATAATTTTGCAGCAAAGTTTACTTCACATTGGCTAACTTATGCTCATAAAGCTCGTTTATACGCCGGGGTTAGTGTTTTCTTTGGAACAGCAAGATAAACTCATAGCTTCTACCTCTATTATTATCATAGAACATTTCATTTATCTTTTGACAATTTTGAAAAAATCTCAATATTAGAACGTAAATGATTGATTTTAAA